TTATAGCCCAAATTACCTTAACTGTAACGGGAGCACCCTCCTTAAATGGAAGGTCCACCGATCCAAATCTTACCACCATCAGTAAATAGGAGCTATTACCTCTCATGTCAATAATTACCGTTTGTGAATAGGGACTAATTCCAGATATGTAGTGTGGTCTCTGCACGGCACGATCCTTTCAAGATCTCGGGCCAATGGCACTGTCAGGCATCCCCCCGCTGTGTGTGGAATTGCGCCGATGGCAAGTACCCTGCTGCCTACGGCACAAGATTGGTAAGTTACATACGAGGCATAGTACTGGCAGCATTGAGGCCTCAGCCTGACGACGTGCATCTCAGCTACAGTATGCATGTGCACTGACTCAGTGACTCGATAGTAATGCTACCTGAGTGTAGTACTGAAGTAAATAGTGTATTGTGTATTGAAATAACTGTACTTGACACCGAGTATAGGATGATTGAAGGTTCTAGCCACACACAGTTATGTTTGAGAGTTATGAACTTATATGATTTAGTATCACTGAGATCAACATATAATAACCAGGAGTATTCTTGATGCCGCGCAGCGCCCGGGAGGCTAGAAAGACTATTTACCTACTTGTAGAACCCTTGCCACTCGTTTACCTTACGAGGAATCGGACCTGGCGTGCCGCGCAGCGCCGAATACTTCCCAAGTCACCTTTTACTGTGCTATGCATCCCCAGCAACGAGCCGTCTCTGATTCTCATAATGCCCGAGCATTGCAGCTCGATGCAGCCATCCTTGACAAACTCCCCGCTGCGGGTCGACTCAGTGTTGCATTTAAGTCCGCAGCTGGCAGGGCAGGTGGGATTCCGTCGATGTAAGCCGCAAGCTTTCCTCGATATAAGAGAGATTACCTGGCAACCCCTTCTCACACACAAGCTGTCTTCGACTTTCACTTGCTCCGCCGACTACCATACTTCCCTCTCTTATACTTGTGCCAGGCTTCTAGCGACATACTAGTGTGCAGGCTTTCCTGAAGACTTCGGGTTTCAAGGCTAAGGGTCCTAGGGAGCTACCTTGCATGTGTCATGCTGTCCAGCAGAAGGGTCAGCCTGCCCCAGCTGTACTGACAACTCTATCAACCGCCCTTCTTGCGCCTGCGATCAGCACTCCTACCTCAGATTCCCTCGCGATTTCCCCATCCTTGCTTGCATCAGACCTCAAGAGTGCTGCGGCTGCTGTGCCGTCGACTCCTCTCATGACAGCCGAAGAGCTCAAGGTGCTGGTTGATAGTAACAAGCGCCGGGCGGCCAGGGTAGCAGCCTTGGAGGAGCGCGTTAAGAAGACGGAGCACCACGAAACTGAGATTCCGTACTTGGAGGGATTCTTGGAGATGCAGCAAAAATTTCACAAAGATGCCCGGGAGGGAGCCTCGCACGAGAGATACAAACTCTCGGTAATCAAAGCGAACACTCTTGTGAAGAGGAAGCACATGGAGCGACTCAAGGCCGACAGTGCGCAGATGAGGGCGGTCATGGATGCGTACGAGGTATGTCGTATATGTCAGCCATATGGCCATGAGACTGATGTCGTACTGGTGCGTTTCGCAGCTCTCGGTGGCTGCACGCTGCAGAAACCGCAAAGTTCCTCATGTCCAACCTCTCCCCGTCACAAAGGTTGGGGTAGAGGCTGTGAGTAGCAAGGGTGTGGTCACCGTGGGCACCACCCTATCTATGGTGCACATTGGCGATTTGGTGGAGGAATGAGGGGGGAAAGGGGAGGGTGGCGAGAGGGGTGAGAGGGGCGGTAAATGACCAAGCAGGGGGGGAGTGGGCCGGAGGATGGCAGGGAGGAGATGGGCGACGTTCCCGACGCAGACGGGGCACGCGCGGCCGATGGAATTCCGTCGGGCATGCGCCCACACCACAGTGTCCCGTCTTGCGCGCGTCGGTACTCACCCACAGACGATCAAGACGCCAATGCTCGCAGCGCATCTCGTCAGCCGCATACCTCCTCCAGCCTGTCTGCCATCCTCCTAGGATCCGTGAGTTCTGTCCTTCCTGCGCTGTGCTTGTCAGATACTAATCACCTCGTCCTTAGGTCAGACGACCCGCGTACGGACAAGTGAAGATCCCGTTCAACTATTCCAACCCGACAGAACCACAGCACTCAAGCCTTCGATACGAGCAGTCCACTTCCACGCAGCATACGAGAGCGCGCACGGCGGTAGGTGGTACGGAGAGGCTTCGGCCAGGACGTACCCGGTGAGGGAGGGCCCCCCTCACCAGCCACGCCGAGCGCAGGGGGCGCAGCCACGTCTAGCCTGGGCCCAGGCTATTCACTGGTGTATTCGCGCGCCGCCCTGTATTCAACCTCCTGTCGTCTCTCGGTGCTCGTGCAGTGGATGGCTCGACTATCTGGACAGGCGATGGTACTTGGCTCGGATCGAATCAGGGAACGCGTGATATCTTTCAGCGGTTCGGTGGGTCTTCCAAGGGTAGTGCGGGAGATATCATGGGACGGGAGGTGGGAGGGAATCGGGGTGAAGTTCAGGAATTGGGGTCAAGAACCGGCGAGAGATGGGAGGCGACCGATGAACAGGAGGGGGGATGCATAGCCCGATGAATTCTCGGGGCATATGCGCAACCAAGATCTCTCCTCGTTCTGTCATCGGCTCACTCTTCGCAAAGGACCCAGGCGCGCCGCCAATGACTGCGCGCCTCGTCTGCCCATGCCCCTCCCGGCGTACGAGCTGGCGTCCGCATGTGATCGGTGAGTACCATCGTGTCGGCTGACCCTTGTGATTCTCACTCTTCTCCTTTCTGAAGGCCTTGCCTACAAGCAGTCCAGCACCACCATCCGACATCCAGTCACTGTTCCGTCCACGCGATCCACTTCTACAGAACCATACGAGGGTACGCGCGGTGGTAGGTGGTACGGAGAGGCTTCGGCCAGGACGTACCCGGTGAGGGACGGCCCGCCCTCACCAGCCACACCGCGCGCGGGGGTCACCGCCGTGTTTAGCCTGGGCCCGGGCTATTCGCGTGCGTACCTATGCACTTCCCTGCATCCCACACTCTCAGCGCTCGGATACGCCGACCAGGACAACTCGACATTGCAAGTTCGGGAGCTTCGTTCGCGTCGACCTGAAGGACCTGTGAAAGTCAAACCCCCTCCCATTCTCAAAGTCAAGCTGTTACCTCTCCCTCGTGCCAGTGTGTGGATATGTATGGAGTGACAAGTATTTTCACTCAGGCTTATTGTTGCGATGGATTGCGGATAGATAGATCTTGTGCATAAAGAATTAACATTGACTCAATGGTGTGCCCTCAACTGTCCCCGACTTCAGGTTAATTATAGGGTACTTCCCTATCTCTGGAATTTCGTCTTCTACATCCCCGAGCACCTGGTTGCTCAGGTCCTTTGAGTGAGTGTACACGCCTCGTCCGGCCAGCGCAACCGTGGAACTGAAAGTTGCTTTGACTCTGAGCCAGTACTGTGTTGAGGTCACATGACAATGAATCAGTCAGGTGTGACGCATCGCGTCTGTCGCGGGTCGTGGTTCACGCGTTCACGTCTTTAACCGTGCCATGTACCCGTGGCAAAAGTCAGGACCCAGAGTCTATCAGCGGACTGGACAGTTAGGAATGTCAGCCCCAGTTCTTGACATAAAAAGGAAACCCTGGTGAGTTCTCAACTTCGACTTTATTCAGGCCTGCTACCTCTATTGCGACATACTCAGACATGCGCTCATTCAAGACCTTCAAGGCCATGCTGAGGATGTGCAAGGCTAAGGGTGTTACATGCCCGACTTCTTGCGCGTGCCCCAACAAAAAGGGAGAGCCCGTGCCTGATGTACTCGCGATTCCGTTGGACTGTCCCCTTGCACTTGTAACGTCTCCCTCTGGCCCTACTCCGGCTCCTTTATCCTCCGAGTCGCCCACCTCAAACCTCAGCAGTCCCACGGCTGCCGTTCCACCATCCCCTCGTATGACAGCCGAGGAATTCAAGGAGCTCTGCGAAAGTAACGAACGCCGGAGGGTCAGGGTCGCAGCCTTGGAGGCGGTATGCCGTCCCGAGACCGTACGCATAGTCCCAGAAGCGAAGCTCGTGGTGGCGAAATTTGAAGCTGAGATTGCCGAGATAAGAGCGTCCATCCGTCAAAGAGAAAACAAGATGCAGTCGATGCTGATGTGGGAGCTTATGGACAGTTATGAGGTATGTCAGGCCGCTTTCTCTTACATCAAGCTGACGTTATACTTGTTTTTTCGCCAGTGTCCGCTTCCATCATTCGAAAGCCAGTACAATATCGTTCGCGTCCAATGACTGCAGTACATTTCGTCCACCGTGCCACCAAGCGGTGGAACGCTGCAAGGTCGGGGCTTCGCGACACCGGGCAACAGCCGCAACACCGAGTTTGGCGCAACGCGGTCGATATCTCTCCAACCATGTGTATATGATACACAGTTTCCTACTTTTCCTTCATCACTTTATATCCGGATATTGTTGTGATTATAATGACATTTCTAGGATCCTAGTCCTCAGCCTCTCGAACTCTGGTTATGGAACATTGTTTATCACCACCCTCATCCATACGTATGGGCCCAGACTATCCCGCCCGCTCCATCTCCCGCCTGATGGCCCACTCGACCGCCTCTTCCACGTCCTCCGCAATGTGCGTGGGTGTATGCGCCGGAGGACCTTGAGCCGGGTCGAAGACGCCCGTGCGCACGAGGACGGACGACCATTTGGCTGCGTTTGCTCCTGCGATATCTATGAACGGGTCAGACGCTTTGCGTCGATGTGAAAGTTAGGGAAACATGTGTCACCTGATTCTGGGTTATCCCCGACCATATACCTGTTGGCAGGTATCACCACGAATATATTAGCAGCCCGTAAGGTAAGCACGGCGGGTAGCTCGGATGGACTTACACCTCAGGTGAGACTGCTGGCCTCCGCCCTGAGAGCTCTTCCAGACGGTCGACCAGAACTTTCTCAGCGAACTTGTACGTTACCTCGCTCGGCTTGCCATACTGTACATACGGATACCGCTTCCCAGTCAACGCCTAAACCACGGTTAGCCCACAAATACAGGGTAGACACTCAAGTAATGCTAGCGTACGTGATATACAGCCTGGAACGCTTCGCGAAACGCGCCCTGACCAAGCCTCGGCCGGTCAAATGCGGCCCGCCAGAGTAGATCGGGGTTGCAGAACACGAGGTCGACTTTATTCTGCTCGGAGACGGGGAGGTAAGGCGCGCCGATGATTCCGCCGGACTGGACGAGGTCGCAGAGGATCTGGACGTCTAATGCCCAGTTGCGTGGGTCGTGGAAGACGAAGGCGGCGGAGATGGGTGTGCGGGAGAAGTCGACGGGCTGGATGAGGTGCGATGAGTATAGCAAAGAGGGGGGGAAGAGAGGGGGAGGGTACCTTAGTCGATGCGCGTTCTTCTGCGGTGAGCTCATGGAATGGCCACACGCTGCAATTCGTCCCACCAGTGGTGAACGGGGGACGACGCACAGGTACAACTGACTTACTTTGGGTTCCAGGCCATCACGTCGAGCGTTGTGTATACTTTCTCAAACCCATACCTTCAAGGAAGTCCGTGAGCGGCGTATCTCACCGTAATTATCTATGTAGTGCTGACCCTTCAGCAACCTTGCGAACCTCGTCGAACTTTCCTCCAAAGACCATGATTGGCTTCTCCGCGTACTTGTGCACGACAGACTTCAGCACGGTATGCGACTGCACGTATTGCGTCGGCTTGATCTGTCAATAGAGAGAGCAGGGGTCTTCCTCAATTCAGTAAATAAATACGAGACCTCATACACACGTCGAATCCTAATTGTTTAGACAGTTTCCGGCACCTGTCTTCTTCGCTGATCCCGCCACCATTCGTGATCTACTGGAGTGAGCCGACTCATTCGAGCTGTGGCGGGAAGGATAGATTGAAGTAGCTCACCAGGATGTAGGGAATCTTGCTGGTAATGTAAATGAGAACCAGCGTTGTCAGATGAACAGAAAGAAAAGACACCAGACGCACAGTCCAGTCGGATTCGCGCCCTCCAGTCTTGCTAACGCGCGTTTTGCAGCGGGAAGGACGGTTTCCCCGCGGAGTAGTACGCCATCCTGACAGACGGTATTATACATGGTTGCAAGACGCCCAGATAACGGTCAACTCACGATATCGAAGGCAAAAACGAGCGGAGGGTGAGGTTGCTGTCGGGACGCTGTACTCGAACGTGAATGCGTCTGTAGCGTTCGTACCCGAAGATTATTTGGCAGGAAGCATCGCCGCGGCTGCGCCAACGCCCTGCAATGTAGTCGAATAGACGAAAAGCGAGGACCCCTGCGCAACGATTCCATCCGAGAGCTAGAAATGCTTCGTCGAGCTGGATGAGCGGGACGGAGGCTCGACGCGGTCTAAATATAGGAGCACGCCGTAATTAACGAGAGGCCGATAACGCGCCTTCTCCCATCCGTCCGCGATGCCGTCCCTCCCAGCACCGATACCGCAACCATGCCTGCACCCCGCGTCGCCGTCGTCGCCCCAGGCGCAATGGGCGCCGCCGTCGCGAAGCGGCTCACCTCCGCCGGCTGCACCGTCCTCACCACCCTCGAAGGTCGTTCCCCGGCATCGCGCAGACGCGCCGAGGACGCTGGCATGCACGACGCGCCGCTCCCGCGTATCGCGGCCGAGTCCGACTGGGTGCTCAGTATCCTCCCGCCGAGTGATGCGTATTCGTTCGCGGAGAAGTTCGTGGACGCGTACCAAGGGAAGCGCAGTGTCGGCTTCGCGGATTGCAACGCCGTGAACCCGGGGACGGTGAAGAAGATTAGGGACCTCTTTAAAGGGACAGATGTTAGGTTTGTGGACGCTGGGATCATCGGTGGCCCGCCCAAGGAGGGCTACGACCCTACGTTCTACGCATCCGCGGATAGCGAGGACGTGCTGAAGTCGTTCGTTGCGCTGGGACAGTATGGGCTGAAGATTACCCCGCTTGAGGGCGCGGACAGCAGTGTTGGTGACGCCAGTGCGCTCAAGATGTCTTATGCAGTGCGTGATACGTTCCTTTGAGCAACTGCTCTCGATGCCTACCACTCATGCTGCGCAGGGCCTGTCGAAAGGCATTATTGGCCTTACGGCAACTATGATTCTCGGTCCGTCCATTTGTATCTGCACTGGCTTACAACTCATGTGCTGCGTCATTCAGCCGCCCACGCCTCTTCCCCTACAACCGCCCGCGCCCTCCTCAACGAAATGCACATATCCCAGCCCGCCCTCCTCGCCCGGAGTACCACCAGCCTCCCAAACATGCTGCCCAAGGCCTACCGCTGGGTCGGCGAGATGGAGGAGATCGCCGAGTTCGTTGGCGGACCCCAGGGAGATATATACAAGGGCCTCGCGCGCACGTTCGAGCGCGTCGAGGCCAGCTTGAAGGAGAAGGACGGCGGGGGAGAGGATGTGCAGGTGCTGAAGGAGTGGGTGGAGAGCGCGAAGAAGGAGCTGGAGGGGGATACTAGTAAGGAGGGTCAGTGAGGCTGCGATCATGGTTCGGGCGGTCTCGCGTTCGTCTGGATGAATCTGTAAGTGTTATTATCATTGACCTCCAAGTAGATCCATGTATTTGTATTTTCGGCTCAGTGTACGCTCTTTACTCGCCCATATCCCAAGTCGCCCTCGTCTTGTCTCAAGTGAGTACTGCATGTTGTTCGCCGACATCATCTCGCCTGCGGGCGAGCAACGCCTTCCTGGAAGCCTGGGGGTGATCATCGATGGTTTGGACCTTTTGGCTTAAACTGACGCTACCGGGACCGCGAAATTCACCTACACTGCGACATTGTCTCTTTCCCGACCATTCGTCGTATTGCACCATCGCATGTGGTCGATCCGCCTTTCGATGGCGAAGCTAAGACATTTTGGTATACAGTAGGATGTCTACAACTACGAGTGCACGCTCCCAGTGGCTCTGGGACCTGGCGACCAGCGGAGAAGTCCGCCGGCCCCGAGGCGGACCGGTTGTAAGAACGGACCAATAGCGGGCGTTCTTTCCTGCAAGTTCTCAAGTTCTGGGTGCGGTCCCGCCCGGAACGCGTCGAGATAGAAACGTCCTTGGATGTGAAGGAACGCTTGTGCAAGTGGAGCATCTCGGTGCCGACTAACTTTCTCAACAAGTTCTCGCTGATGCTGCCGTCCCGACTCCCGAGCTCGTCATTTGCCTCGAGACCCAATTCAATAACGGATCGCAGGTCCGAGTTGTGCTGCGTCCCAGGTATTCCATCCATGGTCAGAAGTCACCAAACGTGAGCAGACGCCGGCTGTCTCTCAGCAGCTTTTTCATTCTGACCATACGGCTGGTCGCGTACTCGTAAGTCTACAACCTCTCCGATGACCGGGCCCTCGTCAATGCATGACGAGTCCAACACGGGGATTCAGGGACATATGATCATGAGCGGACCGCGACTATGAAGAAGGTTCTCCTTCTCTTCTCTCTGACTGGTATAAATCAGGATTGGACTTCAGGCGATGTGCCCAGTGAACCCACGACCGCTCAAAATGTTCAAGGTGCAGCTTTCGACAGTAACTGCTAGCATTGGCCTCGCGGCCTTTGCCACCCTCTTGCTCTCACCACCCGCTAGTGCGGACACCATCACCATCCCTACCTCTTCATTCGACAGTACCTCCAGTCTCGAGCAGTACTGGAACTACAACTACCCGTGGGGCGACACACACAACGGAGGTAAGCACACCCTCATTTACCCTCATTTCAAGCATCCCCCAGCCTTGACAACTCGGATGCCCCAGCTGCCCGCATGTCCAGCGATCATGTCAGCGCCTCGGGCGGCGTGCTCACCTTGACCGCAGTCCCAGCGAGCGACTCTGATTCGGACATCCATTACCACTCGGGTACGATCTACGCGAAGGAGCAGGTCAACGTCGACGGGACGGACGCCGTGGGGTACCAGGTCGAGGGCGAGTTCATCGCGCCGACGACCAAGGGCACCTGGCCCGCGTTCTGGCTGAACGCAGCGAGCGGCTGGCCGCCGGAGTCTGACATCGCCGAGTGGAAGGGCGAGCGTAGTTTATCCTATTTGCCTGCTAGTGCTGATGTAACCCCCGCGCTACCCAGGCACTGACCAGATTTGGTTCAATACGTTCAACACGTCTAGCCAGGTGGCGAGCAAGGTGGTTACCTGGCCGGACGATGGGAACTACCACGCCGTCAAGGGTGTCTTGCGCACCATCCCAGGGAATTCGGCCGATCTCAGTATTGAGTATTACTTGGACGGCACGCTCCAGGCTACGCACACTGCGGCGGGCTACGTCGGCAAGGCGCTGAATCTGTGAGTAATCTCGTTTGAGATATAATTTGGCCAGGATGTTTCCTACGGGCACGATGCGCCTCATACAGGATCATCGACTTGCAGGTGCGATTCGTGCTTTCTTTTCTTTTTCTGTGCTGCTCATCTATAGCGCTCGCTCAGATGGAAGGAAGCTCAGGTTCTCCTGGACCCACCGGCACCACGACGTTCAAGATTCGCAACGTCCAGATGACCAAGTTGACGTCCTAAGTCACCCTCAGTGATAGGTACAGGATTTCTCTGTTCGTTCTTCTCTTTCATCACTTTATTCCCTCTGCTGGCTTGGTCTTTGGTTTAAGAAGAAGAGAGAAAACTTGTCGTACCGATGATTTCCCTCTTGTAATTTAAGGCAGAAGGAAGTGTTTCTGGATAGCGATGAGTGCTGATGAACGCCCGATACTCTACTTGGTTGCAGAACCAGAGATGGTTGTGTTTATTCCCGAAAGGTCCTTACTGATCATTCACATCGTACCGGTCCAATGAAGAGAGCTTAGAAAATGAAGACACCAAGCAAGAGACTCACACAAGCGGTAGAACCAAAGCCGTTCAAAGTTCAACTCATAGTTGAGCGCTTGAAGTACCCACCTTATGTTAGCTTCGTAGGCGTTTGAGGGAACGGCAGGAAGTTAAGAACGATTGCATATGCACAAGACCTATCCTACAACCCATGACAACCAATAACCCTAAGTGAAGAATCCATATCCTGATACAACAATGACAACAACAACGACCCGCAACCACATCCGCATGCCACGAGAATAAAAGAGAATCTGAGTGTAAGGAGCCCTTGAGCGTGCCGACCCGTGGTCGCCTATCTTGCGTTATCCTAAGCAGTCGCCTCCTATCCATATGTCCAGAGTGAGAGCGCCTAAAGGAAGAACGCTGCCTGCTCGAAGACGCAGAAGAGCTAACCATCCAGCGAGATCCAGCCACCCATAATGAATCGCCAACAAAGCGCCCTGCGAAGTTGTCCCGCCCCGAAGTAGAAGGGACGCAGTGTTGAGGTTGATCCTCAGAGTCCGGAGAGTCGGATGCAGGGGAGCGCATAGGTAAGCACGCGAATAGCCCGGGCCCAGGCTAAACACGGCAGCAACCCCCCTGCGCACGGCGTGGCTGGTGAGGGTGGCCCTCCCTCACCGTGTACGTCCTGGCCGAAGCCTCTCCGTACCACCGACCACCGCGCGTTCTCTCGTATGACTCTGTAGAGGTTGACTACTGGTAGCGAAGGCTTGAATGGAGCGACTGGAGTTTGGATGATAGGCGGCATGGCTGGTGCTGGACTGCTTGTAGGCAAAGGCCTTCAAGAAAGAGGGGAAATCAGAATCACATGAACACGGACATCGCGATGAGACTCACCACTCGGGAACGGACACGAGCTCATACGCCGGAAGAGGTATAGGCAGACGAGGCGCGCGCAGTCATTGGCAGCGCGCCTGGGTCGTCTGCGATGAGTGTGCCGATAAGCAAAACGAGGAGGGGAGACGTGCGTTGCGCATATGCCCCGAGAAATCGTCGAGCTATGCGTCCCCCTGTGTTCGTCGGCCACTTCCTATCCCCCACCAGCTCTCGTCCCCATTTCTCAACCCCGCCGAACTGCTGAGAGAGAAATCCTCTCCGTCTGGACTCGGTCCAAAGAGCGTCCACATGTCCGCGTAGTCGAGCGATCCGCGATACGAGCGCCGAGAGAGTGTTGGGTGCAGGGGAGGCGTGGAACTACACCAGTGAATAGCCCGGGCCCAGGCTAAACACGGCGGCGTCCCCTGCGCGCGGCGTGGCTGGTGAGGGCGGGCCCTCCCTCACCTGGTACGTCCTGGCCGAAGCCTCTCCGTACCACCTACCGCCGCGCGTGCCCTCGTATGGCTTTGTAGAAGTGGATCGCGTCGACGGAGCGGTGACTGGATGTCGGATGATGGTGTGGACTGCTTGGAGGCAACTATCTTCAGAGGAAAAGAGTGAGAATCATAAAGGTCAGCCGACACGATGGCACTCACCGGTCACATGCGGACATGCGCTCGTATGCCGGAAGATGGATGGGCAGACAAGGCGCGCGCAAGCATTGGCAGCGCGCCTGAGTCGTCTGCAAAGAGTAAGCCGCTGACTGAACGAAGAGGGAGATGTCGGTTGCGCATGTGCCCCGAGAATTCTTCGGGCTATGCATCCCCCCCTCCTGTTCATCGGCCGCCTCCCATCCCTCACCGATTCTTGTTCCCAAATCTTGAACTCCACCCGACTCCCTTCCACCCGCTCCCTTCCCTCCTCCCATCCCATGATATTCCCCCGCACCATCCTTGAGAGACCCACCGAACCGCTGGAGAATATTGCCGTCCTCATGACCCGAACCAAAGAGTATCGCCTGTCCAAATAGTCGAGCGTTCCACCCACGACCATCGAGAGACAATGATTGAATGCAGGGGGGCATGTGACTACACCAATGAATAGCCCGGGCCCAGGCTAAACATGGCTGCGCCCCCCGCGCACGGCGTGGCTGGTGAGGGGGGCCCTCCCTCACCGGGTACGTCCTGGCCGAAGCCTCTCCGTACCACCTACCGCCGCGCGTGCTCTCGTATGCTGCGTGGAAGTGGACTGCTCGTATCGAACGCGTTGTGGCTTGGTGGGCTTGTTACGGTTGCATGTGTTCTTCTCTTGGACGTTAACGCGGGTCGTCTGACCTGAGGAGGGAGAAGTTAGTATTTGACAAGCTTGGTGCAGGAAGGATGGAACTCACGGCTCCTAGGAGGATGGCAGACAGGCTGGAGGAGGTATGCGGCTGACGAGACGTGCTGCAAGCATTGGCGGCGCATCCTGATCGTCTGCGGGCGAGTACCGACGCGCGTAGGATGGGGCACTGTGATGTGGGCACATGCCCGGCGGAATTCCGCCGGCCGTGCGTGCCTCCATCCGCGTCGGTATAGTCGCCCACCTTCCGACCTCCTCCCTGCCAACCCCCCTTCTCCCCCCTCCCCCTCCCCCCGCAACCCCCACCACAACCGCTCACACCTCCAGAGAATCCAACCGCTCCCCAATCACGTCCAGCCGCCCGACCATCTCGTCCAGGCGCTCGATGCTCTCCTCGAGAGTCTTCTCCCGCTTCTCCGACGCGTCCACGACCTGCTCCCAGTACTCCAGCTGGGCACGCGCCTCCTCGACCTCGATCTCCAGGAGCTCGATCTCCCGTGCCTCCTGCTCCTTGCGCTCCTTCTCCTCCCTCTCCTTCTGCTCCCGCTCGCGTATAATCTGAGCCCGCTCCTGCATGGCAGCCCGGACAGTAGCGGGGATCCCCTCTTTCTTGAGTTGCGCGAGCCAGGAGGCGCGCTCCTCGGCGGCGGCGGGGGCTACCTGCCGGACAGGTGGGTTGGTCGACTCTGGCTTGGACGCGGCCCTGAACTCGGCGGGGATGGGCAGCCGGCCGAGGACGTATCTGATGGGCTCGGGAGCGGGCGCGGGAGGAGGGGTGGGGACGATGGTGGCGGCGGGCGAGGCGAGGAGGATCTCGATGGTGAAGAGGTCGGCGCGGACAGGCTTGGGCTTGAAGATCTCGTCGAAGACGGAGAGGGTGGGCGAGCGCGAGCGAGAACGCGGACGGGGGAGCGCGGTGGAGGGCCGGAGGAAGGCGGGCGTGGCGGCGGACTTGAGCTTTTGCTGCACGCTCTTGAGGGTCTTCTTGATCGAAGGCATCTTGGTGCGAGTTTGGTGTGCGAGTGGATGTGTTGAGGAGCGATGTGTCGATGTGTTGCGAGGAGGCTTGAGAGCGCAAAGTGGACTCGATGACTTTCGACGTACCAATCCCGCCGTCTTTTATGTTCTCGAGCAGACAGGTGGCTGGCATGGCTGGTGTTCTCCCGCACGTCAAGATCGTCGGGTATCGACGATTGCTGAGACAGAATGTGTCCGGTACTCGTACCTCCGTGTCAGCCAGCGAGAAGCCTGGGCAAGATTGCCCAAACTACTCATTGGTTGACCAGGGAAGAGTACGAACACTCACAAACTCCTCGGATTTATTGTTTTCTAAGGACGGTGTGCTCCGCCGGTCGGCGTAGTCGACGGGATTGGGAGGTTAGGGTATTGAGATCGTAACGACTTCGTGTTCCGAGTCCGATTGATTACTCGGCGAGAGCATTCGTCGCAGGCATCTATCCCTGAGGACATTGCACCTAGAATAGTGACACTTTGAGCTACGACGCAGAGAGTCGGTCAGGACGAGGAAGGGGAGACTCGGACGTCCGTTGGCTTCGCGGAGTCTACGCCACCGCACGCGTCGCGTCGCGTTCGGTCACTTGAGTCGTTGCAGGATCTTGCATTGGCTGGAGTGCGGCTTGTAATCGCACATTCGATCCTCCTGCGCCCGTTCTATTCGCCGCTAGCCTTTACGCCATTCAGCTCCATGTCCGCGACATTCTCGTGGTTGACCGACTGTACGAACACAAGTCCTGCAACCTCGCCATGACCTGAGAGTACTCGGAACGTCTATGATCATCACGTTGACCGCCTCCTTTCCCGCGAGTATATATACTCCCGTCTACGCAGGCCTCTACCTAGCACCATGTCCGAACAACCCTTCAAAATCTCTGTGCCCGACTCTGAGCTCGCCCTCCTCCGCCAAAAGCTCGCGCTCACGCGCCTCCCAGATGAGCTCGACGGCGCGGGCTGGGACTACGGCGTGCCCCTCGCGGACATGCAGCGCCTCGTCGCGCGCTGGAGGGACGGTTACGACTGGCGGAAGCACGAGGCCGAGCTGAATGAGCTCCCGCACTTCACGCGGGATATTGAAGTAAATGGGTTCGGGACCCTGAATATACATTATCTGCACCGGAGGAGCCAGGTGGAGGGCGCCGTGCCGCTGTTCTTCGTGCATGGGTGTGAGTGGCTCGTGACTACCGAGGGTGTCGAGTGAACGACGGGTTGGTGATCTACAGGGCCCGGAAGCTTCTTCGAGGCGAGGAAGATCTTGCCGCTGCTCACCGCTGCGTCTCCGGACCAGCCGAGTTTCCATGTCGTCGTCCTCGAGCTCCCTGGCTACGGCTTCTCCCAAGGGACGAAGCAGAAAGGGTTCGCAATGGCGCAGTACGCCGAGGTACGCTACTGAACTTCATGAATCGGTACCTTATTGGCTTAATGATGTGCAGGTCGGGCATAAGCTGATGCTTGCGCTGGGATACAACGAATACGGTACGTCGAGAACGAACACTGTGTGCCTTCCATCAATTTATGCGCTTCATAGTGACACAAGGCGGTGACTGGGGATACTACGTGTGTTCCTCACCCCTCCCTAACTTCCCACCTTTCCCAACGACATGCACGCACAGGTGACCCGCAAAATGGCCTCCCTGTACGGGCCAAAACACGTCAAAGCCTGGCACACCAACTTCACAATGTACGTCCGCCCCCCTTTCCCCCTTCCCACCCGTCTCCCCCTCCTAACCGTCCCGCAGCTCCGACACCCCCAAACCACACCGCAATCCCCTCCTCTTCCTCCAACTCCTCCAGCACGCCCTCACGCCCTTTAGCCCGTACACCCCCGCCGAGCAGCGCGGGCTCGCGCGCAGCCAGGCCTTCCGCGAGCGCGGCGCGGGGTACTACTTCGAGCAGAGCACGCAGCCGCAGACGCTCGGGTACAGCCTCGCGGACTCGCCGGCCGGCCTGCTCGCGTGGGTGTACGAGAAGCTCGTGCGGTGGACGGATAAGTACCCCTGGGAGGACGACGAAGGTCGGAGATTTTCTCTTCCAATGCGGTTTTGCGAGGGTTGGACTGACGAGGGGGGGTGTGGCGGGGGCGTAGTGCTGACGTGGATATCGATATACTGGTTCGCCCGCGCGGGCCCGGCCAACTCTGTAAGGATATACTACGAAGTCGAGAAGGCGGGCGACCGCGCGCTGCCCCGCATCCCTCATGTCCCCATGGGCGTGTCCTACTTCCCCGCAGAGGCCGTCATCGTGCCCAAATCGTACGTCCCGCACTTGCTTCTCACTTTACCTCGCACTTTATGCTTATGCGTGTTTTGATCTGGTAGGTGGATGCGCGCGCTGGTGGGGAACGTGGTGTTCGAGGCGGACCACGAGAGCGGGGGCCACTTCGCTGCGTACGAGCGCCCGGAAGAACTGGTGGGCGACCTCAGGAAGATGTTTGGGCGCGGAGGGCCAGCGTTCGGGGTTGTTCCTGGCTTGACGGGATATGCGTCGTGATTTATGAGGGTATTGCGGTGTATCCTTGCCAATACGATGGTACGTCGCATCCGGGGTCACCCTACTCGGAGAAATGCTTTCGCAAGCACCTTTATCCTTATTCATGGGGAGGCGCAATTCCGGGCGGCGAGTTGTTTGCATCTGTTTGGACTCTGCAAGAAAGTGGTCGCAAATCCCCCGCCTTCATAGAGCCTTCCGCATGTCGAAATCACGCATATAAAATGTACCAGCAGGGATGTCATGATACAGAAGATGCAACGTTAGTTCTGAATTTCCGATTTTCCCAATATCAAGTTCATTAGATAGAGGTAACGAGACCACAAGTACATTTAACAAAAATGTACAACCAACGTTGCATCCGCTCGTTGATATTGATTAACTTTATT